GTGTGTGTGTGTGTGTGTGTGTGTGTGTGTGTGTGTGATGGAGATCTTCACATTGCATCAGGAGCTTGGAGCCTGTTACACATCCATTGGGAGGAAGAGACAGAAGTGACCTATCAGAAAGGGCAAGGCCCGTCCAGAGCTGGGTGCTCCCTCCTACTCTCCAGCGTGGTCATGGAAGGATGGCCATTCCTCGTGGCCCCCGAGGGCCGGGAGAGGGAGGGCGACACCATCCACCAAGGCAGGCCGCCTTGACCACCCTGGGGCCTGGGAACAGAGCAGAGATGGAGAGAGGAGAGAGAGCCCAGGATAACCCCAACATTGACTCACCAGCTGTGTGACCCTGGCCTAGTCATTTGGCCTCTCCAGTGACCGGCCTGGAATAGGGCCTGGGATCATTCCCAGAGGTCCTTCTAGTTCAGGCCCCGTGGTCACCCTTTTCTCAGGATGGGCAAGGGGCTGGTGTTACACGATCCCACAAGGCCCTGCGTTCCTGCTTCCATCATTTGGAAGCCTTCCTTCAAAATAAATCCCAAAGCTGACCGTTCTTCCTTGCTCACCACGCCCCCCCCACCCCGTTAAGCTGCCAGCACAGCCTCTCCTGCCTGAAACTATGGCAGTCACCTATCACTGGCCTCCCATACTGGTTCCCACTCAGTAGCCAGCAGGATCCTGTTCACACTTAAGTCAAATCCCATCCCTCCTCTGCTAAGAACCCTCCTGTGGCTCTCCTTTATTTCAGAGTAGAAGGCAAAATTCTCAGCAGGACCTACAAAGCCCCCAAAAGGTCGGCCCGTCCTTTGCCAGTCTCATCCATCGGCGACCATTCCCCTCACCCTGCAGGCCTCCTGCTCCATCTACGCCACTGTTACTTGGCTTTGCATTCTCTGTTCCCTCCGCGTGCCGTCCGCTTCCCCACCGACAGCCGCGTATGCGGCTGACCCCCCACACCTGCACGTCTTAGCTCGAATGTCGCTTTCCGGTGAGCCCTCCCCTGACCTCCTGCTCTAGATCAGAGTTCTCCGTCCCCTCAGTCGGCTGTGTTTTTCCCCAGTACACTTACCAGTTCCAAACATTGTATTTATTTTTATTTACTTGTTTACCGTGAGCCCCATGAGGGTGGGGCCTGGGCTGATTTGGTCACCCTTGTGTTCCCAGCCCCAGCCAGCACAGGGCTGGGCAGAGAGTAGATATAAATAAATCTCTGTTGAACAAATGAATAAATACCCTTCTCTTGTCCTGAGCCCCTTCCCAAGCTTGCCCTGCTCGCCACTCCTCCAGCCAGTCTGCCCCGATTGCCCTTCCCTTAGGTTCTGAAAGTCTCCCTGGCCCTCAGTCCTGACTTGGAGAACACGGTTTATCTAGAAACTCACACGTGTTCTTTGTGCCCTCACTCCCTTATGTGACCAGGGGCTTCCCAAGGGCAAAGATGTTCACTCTGCACTCAGTGAATTTCTTCTTCCGTCTCCTTCAGTCACAAAAATTCTACCTCCTTGTCGGAAATATCCTTTTTCCTCTTTTGGTCTTTACCTTCTGGAGACCAAACATTTGACTTCATTTACCTTGTCCCCTCCTCCAGGAAGCCCTCCCTGACTCACAGACTGGGTCCGATGTCCTTTGGGCTCCCTGTCTGAGCCCCACCCAGTCAGGATCATCACTGTCTGGGGGGCAGGTCTGTCTCCCCCATGGGAGTGTGGGCGAGTGAAGGAGGGCCAGCGGTGTTCTTGGTCACCACTATGCCACGAGTACCACCCAGCGCAGCGCTAGGCACAGATAAACTGAAGGAGGTCACGGTGGACGATGATGGACCAGTGACCCACCAACCTCACCGTTTTCCTATTTTCTTACACTCTTCCGAATGTTAACACAGCCTTATTTACATACAGTTTGCATACATCAGACCAGGAGGGAAGGGAATGTGGGCTAAGATTTGAGGAGCCGGGAGAGGGAGTTCTGCGCAAGTTGGAGGCTCACTGTGCTGGCGGCAGCATCTTTAGCTGAAGCTGGTCCGCCTGGGAGGGTGGAGCTGCCGCCCAGCCAGCTGCCATGGCCTTGGCCATGCTGTTCCTCTTGGAGGTGAGCGGGGTCTCCAGGGTGAGTGACGCGTTGGCCATCTCCTGTGGCTTGTCACTGGCCAGGAAGCGGAGCAGATTGTGCAGGGCCTTGGCCACGTCGCTGCGGGCCCCCTCGTTGACGAGGCAGTAGAGGATGGGGTCGGCCACGCAGTTGAGGCTGGTGAAGGCCAGTGAGCTGTGATACGCTGAGAAGACACGCTCCTCGAAGCCACAGTCCCACGGGCGGCCCAGGTAGACGGCGCTGCGTGAGAGCAGGAGCACGTGGTAGGGCGCGAAGCAGACCAGCACGATGGCGATGAGGCTGAGGGCCAGCCGCTTAATCTTGGCCTTCTCCTGGCGCTCGGTGGACACGCTGCCCCGCACGGCCCGCAGGATGCCCCGGTAGGACAGCAGCATGAGCGCCCACGGGAAGAGGAAGCCCACAAAGACCCGGTAGAGGTTCATCCAGGCCACCCAGCCCTCCATGGGGAACTTCTCAAAGCAGAAGGTGTGGTTGTAGCGGTCACGGAAGAGCTCGTCGTGGAACAGGGGTGCCGAGTTGGCCCCCAGCTCCGTGGCCCAGACCACAGAGCTCACGGCCACGGCCGTCTTGACGCGGCGCAGGCGGGCAAACCGCAGCGGGTGGGCCACAGCCAGGTACCGGTCCACGGAGATGCAGCACAGGAAGGCGATGCTGATGTAGATGTTGGTGTAGAAGATGAACCCGAAGAGCTTGCAGGAGCCGGGGCCGTGGATCCAGTTGTCG